AATAGAAGAAAGGTTATTAGAAAATATATAAATGATGTGAAAGTGAAAAAAAGAAAGAAAGAAAGAAAGAAATAAGAAAATAGTACAACTGAGAGAAAATATAAAAAAATATATGATCGAAGAAAGAAAGAAAAAGGGAAGAAAGAAAGAATGAAAGAAAGAATAAAAGAAAGAAGAAATTAGTAGAAAAAGCAAAAAAAAGATTATAAGAAAGAAAGAAAGAAAACAATTGGCAAAAATGAATATAATGGGTCAAAGAAAGAAAAAAGACATAAGGAATGAAATAAAGAAAGAAGAAAAGGAAAGAACAAGAAAAGAACAAAAATAAAAGAATGAAGGAAAGAAGAAGAAGAAAGGAAGAAAGAAATTAAAAAGAAAGAAAGAAAGGAACAAAAGAAAAAAAAGAAAAAGAAAAGAAGACAAATAAAAGAAAAAAAGAAACAAAAAACAAAAGAAAAAGAAAGGAAGGAAAAAAAAGGAAAAAAGAAAGAAAGAAAGAAAGAAAGAAAGAAAGAAAGCAAGGTAATAATTTTGGGAGAAATAAACAAAGATGGATGATCCCCAAAATAAGAAAAATAGGTAGATCCTGCCAGGTAGTACGAGAGTTTTCACACACCACAAGGTCAGGGTTCAAGCGCAAGTTAAAACAAAATTCGAATGTTCGTCTTTTTTAAGTTTTCTCTTAAAAGTCTACTTAAGCATCTCCAATATAATCCGGGTTAATAACGGACAAAACAAGCATTGTCATTATCAATGGAGGAAAAAGCATATCATTATCCCAGAAGTGGGTTCGATCTTCACACAGTGCTTTCCAACCCCTGACCTTGTGTTAGAATAAGAGATGTTAAGTAGGTTAAAAGTACACATGATACATTCAAATATAAACATGGATATATATATATATATATATATATATATATATATGCGTGTGTGTGTGTCTGTGACTATGCTTGTATATATATATATATATATATATATATATATATATATAGAGAGAGAGAGAGAGGGAGAGAGAGACGGAGAAAGAGAGAGAGATATATATATAGAGAGATACAGATGGGGTTAATGTTATAAAACCGTGCTTAATGACATATAATGCTATATATATACATAGATAGATAGATAGATAGATAGATAGATAGATAGATAGAAATAGCTTTAATAAAAGTGAAACATGTTAGATTGAGATTCGTTTTTTCTACTTGTTCTTTATTTTATTTTATCATCTTGTCGGATTCTAACCAGATCCGATCGACATTTGATATTCTATATATATATATATATATATATATATATATATATATATATATATATATATATGAGACAGAGAGAGAAAGAGACAGAGAGAGGCATATGATAGTGTAGAGAATGATATAGATATATATTTACATCGGTAAATAAATATGTACATAGAATGATAAATTGATAGATAGATATATAGAAAAAGTATTTATTTATTTTCATTGACAAAATAAATTGGTAATTTTTTTTATTAAATTTTTCTTGGAAACATGCATAATGTGAAAAGAATAAAAAATGTAAAGTTGATTTTAATAAACTTCCTTTTAATTGATTGAATTTCTGCCTCCAAAATATATTAAAAGATGAGATCAATATATATATATATATATATATATATATATATATATATATATAGATAGATAGATAGATAGCTAGATAGATAGATAGAAAATGTGATAGAGAGATCGATAGGAACAGATTGAGATTCATAGCTTGATAAATAGATATTTAGATAGGTAGATAGATAAATAGATAGCTAGATATGAAAAGAGATAGATAGATAGATAGATAGATAGATAGATAATGAAAAGATATAGATAGATAGTAAGATATATATATATGCATACATATAGATAGCGATGCAAACGCCGATAGATAGATAGATAGATAGATAGATAATGAAAAGATATAGATAGATAGTAAGATAGATATATATGCATACATATAGATAGCGATGCAAACGCCGATAGATAGATAGATAGATAGATAGATAGATAGATAGATAGATAGATATGAATAGTGATAGAAAAGAAAAGTGCTAGATAGATAGCTATCTAGATAGATTGATAGATTGATAGATAGATGTGAAAATTCATAGACATGAAAATTGATAGATATGAAAATAGATAGATAGATAGATATACATACAATGAACTGAGATAGATAGATAGATAGATAGATAGATAGATAGATAGATAGATAGATAGATAGATAGATAGATAGATAGATAGATAGATAGATAGATAGATAGATAGATAGAAAATGAACCGAGATAGATAGATAGATAGATAGATATACATACAATGAACTGAGATAGATAGATAGTAGATAGATAGATAGATAGATAGATAGATAGATAGATAGATAGATATCGGGAGAAATTTACTGCGCCAAGAAATGTTTTCGTGTTCCTAGCGAAATAGCTTTGGTGGTCGTTTGCTTTCACTTCTAGCAGTCGTAGCTTCGATGGTTGCAATACCTTCAACCACGCATTACGAGACACAGAAGTGAGACGTTATGGCTGCTACCTTTTTGCCATAGCCATACCAACCAACTGCATAAATGTGCCGTAGAACTGACAAACGAGACTTGGCCCTCGATATGTACACACCTAGAAAGGAAAATAAAGCAATATACAGAAACATGGATTTACAATTGAACCTTACAGTACAAAACATATTCACAGCGATGTCGTTTGCATTATTAAAATGCATACTACTATCCTCATCTTTGTTGTTGCTATAAAAAAAACAAAACAACAAAGATGGAGACAATCGTCAGCATGTATTTTTTCCTTACTTAGATATAGCTTGTTCTAATATATTAAAGCACTCGTTCATGAATTTAAACGCAGTACTACAGTTGTAGTTAGGTCTCATCATTTTATTGTCGAAATTGGTAGATGTAACCGCAGGTTCTATTCTAATAGTTTCTTCTCGCGTACATCTCATAGATCTTTCCTCCAGTTATTATAACCTTCAAAAATTCAAATGCAATGCCAATCGTTACCTGCTCCTTTATTGTTCTCGATTCTTAAAAACGTTTATTCAGTTCCTTACATTCTCTTGTGTTTTAGTGGCTTCATCGCCTTGCTTGGGGTGAAATGATGATAAAAAATGACCACCATATATATAAGCTGTCAAGATGAAATGGATGAATTTTAAATTGTTAAAATATTGATTATGAATCTTTATTTGTGGACTTAAGTTAATTAAAATAGTCTTAAGAGTCGTTTCATTCTCTGGATCGGGTTTGCAATTTCAGACATGCGCAGTGGAATGAGGATAATTTCCCACCCCCTAAAGATTAAATAAAGGGTTGACTTTCAATTTTCCTGACGATGTCGCAGATCTAGATCTTTGATGTAAAGAATTGAAATAATAATAAGTACTCCTACCTGAAATTCAGACAGTAACTTAACAACGTTACTGTCCATATGTGTGAGTATCTATCTATCTATCTATCATCGATATATATATATATATATATATATATATATATATATATATATATATATATATACTGGTTTATTTTGGTTTGGTGTAGTTTACGGCATACCAACTTCAAAGTGGTTATTTAAAGCAGACAAATTTTTATTGTTGGTAATATTTTTCTCCAAAAATGCATTGCTGGTAATACACTTTTAACCTTCAACAACGTATTGCCAGTAATATTTATTTTCTTCAAAAGTGTATTGCTGATATTAAAACCTATTTTTACAATTTCATAGTGTTTTGACCCCAGTTTTGGGGTTAACTATTAGCCCATGTTTGGGAGCCTAAAATGTGCCACTATCTCGGGTCAGAGTTAACCTGAGTACACCAGCAATTAAGAGGTCGTTCCATCCTTCTAAAAACCTCCTGATCAGAGCAGAGGTCTTGCTTTTGGACCTTGTTTATCGTCATAATATATATATATACATCTCAGATGAGGTATTATGTACACTATTTACATTATTTGGACTATTGTCCTCATCTTTGTCGACATATTTATTACAACGTTTCGGCCTTTCAGTATCTGTCTATATTTCTCAATATGTACACCATTTACATTATTTGGACAATTATCCTCATCTTTGTCGCCATATTTATTTCTGAGATGAGGTATTATGTACATTATTTACATTATTCGGATTATTGTCCTCATCTTTGTTGCCATATTTATTACAATGTTTCGGCCTCTAAGTATCTGTCTATATTTCTGAGATGAAGCATTATGTACACTATTTACATTATTTGGACTATTGTCCTCATCTTTGTCGCCATATTTATTACAACGTTTCGGCCGTTGTACGCTCCAGCCTTCTTCAGTTGGTTGGAATGTCGAACTGAACCATTTATTTCGCTCACTGGGGTAGACTGTTCTAGTTCCACGTGATATGTTTGATGGATGTCAGTTATCAGTTACCTCCTGTTAATTCTCCTCTGAAAGTTCTCCACTGCCTTAACCGGGTATTGAACTCACACTCTTTGGGTCCTGTCACTGGATCTAACCATCGCCTTTATCCACTGTGCCATGTGTCCTCAAGGTTAATGCTTATGGTGAGGGTGGGTGGACGCCCTCATTGTAAATAAATAAATACTCGATACTTTAAGCAGCACTTAGCTTCAGAATTTTTAAAAGTGAATGCGTATGTTTACCTCTTTGCCTAAAGTTAGTCACGGGTAATGAACCAGCAAGTGATTTGCAGACCAGAAGGCAAATGTAAATAACAAAAGCAGAAGCAGCACCACCACCACCAACAACAACAAGAGCAACAACAACAACAACAATAATAATAATAATAATAAAGACAAGAAATTCAGAAAGTGTAGGCTTATTAACATGGCAGTACAATTTGAGAGAAACATCTCGATAAAAAATTATCGAGAAAACGTCCAAATACAAGGACCTGGAGATCGAGATTATCAGGATGTGTAGAATGAACACTAAGACTGTACCAAGAGTTATCAAAGCTGAGGGCCTCGTGAGAAGTCGTAACATCAACATACAATTTGACCAGAAGATCACCCAACTAGGAACAACACTTATACTAAGTAAAGTGATATCAATCAAATGACCATTCTTCTATAGGACCATAGTTTGGACCCGGATCTACAGGATACAAAGCCGCAAACATAACACGCACATGATAATAATACTAATCCGAACTGATAAAAAAAACATCGCAGATAAAGAATCTGACACACTTTAAAAAATAAATAAAGACCTGGAAATAGAAACTGCAGGAATGCGGCATTTAAAAACTACTACCGTTCCAGTAATAATAGGAGCACTGGGAATGATAAAAAAAAAAGATACTGATACACGCATTAAGAAAATCACTGCAAATTTTTTCCATGTGCGAGAAAGGGGATTGTTCTCATAAGGACCGCTCTCATATTTTGAAAAAAACTCTATTTGTACGTTCAGTATCTAAGAAAAAAAAAACTTCCTTTTTCTCAAATCTAACATAAAAGACATGGTAAGATATTTTTATCAAATATCACGTCAAGAAAATGGCTAACACCATTATTATTAATAAAGATAATAACAATGATCTGGTAGTCCCAGATTGCAAAGGTTTCAAAGCATTGCACTTTTTTTGAAATGTTCATCTACTCATGAGATTTTTATGAATGTAAATAAAACATAAACTCCGTAATGTTAAGTAGCGCTTAGCATCAGAAGCTCTGCAAACAGAATGCAAGTATTGACTGTCATCTCTTACTACAGTTCTTGGCTAAAGGATGGAACTTAACAGGAATCAAAAGATAGTAGTAGTAGAGAAGAAAAAAATTTGGCCCCTTAAAAACTAAAACTGTTCCTGTTGTGATTGGAGCTCTGGATATGATAAAAAAGGAACCAAAGATCAAATCAAGAAAATTCCTGGTGTACCGTCTTACCAGGAAATCTCTCCAATGTTTTTTTTTTTTTTTTAACATGCACAGCTCATATCCTGCGAAGGGCTTCACTCATTGAATTGATTTTCCTGTGTGTTTTTTCTTTTGTTAATAGCTATCTTTTATTTATTTAAGCGGAAACAACAGCAAAATCGCATCATTCGTATGGCCTAGGTCATTTGTCATGATCCGGCATGTGATTAGAAAATAAATTTAGGTAAAAATATTTTAATAATAATAATAATAATAATAATAATAATAATAATAATATTTGATTTTAATTTGTAACGATGACAAAAGCAGAATTGAAATATCAGTTCCGAAGATGTAATATAACAAAAAATTTGCTAATATTTATATATACATATATATATATATATATATATATATATATATATATATATATATATATATGTGTGTGTGTGTGTGTGTGTGTGTGTGTGTGTGTGTGTGTGTGTGTCTATAGAACTAAAAGAAATAAAAGAAAGATTTATAATCCGGTGTTCTTAGCAATTAATTTTATTAAAAACAAAACACCCCCCAATCAAAATTGATTGAAATTTCCTTAACAATAACAACTCAATATATTAAGATTTTCTGCGCTTATAAATTAAGCAAATTTCTTAGAAAGTTATTCCTACCATCGCTTGACAATGGAACGTATCTCTGGATTTTAATTTTAATTTCCGCAATAAGGCGTTTCAGTTTTGAAAATATAGAACGATCTCTGTGTCGCGATGGCCTCATAATTTTTAAAAGAAAAATTATATTATATATATATATATATATATATATATATATATATATATATATATATGTGCTAAAGGAATGTATGTATGAGTAATTTATGAGGTGTGATTTGTATTGAAAAAAATGGTAAAAGCATTTTCTCTAGCGAATAAGCTATCTACATACCGGCGTACACTTAAGGTAATCTCATCTATAGATATTTATTTTGAATATGTATTTTCAACATCGAGACTGTTTTCGCTTTTGCATTTATCTTCATCTGTCGATAGGTTCAAGAAAATTTGAAAATAAATATACATCTCCGTCAGGTAGATTGGATGGCAAATGAGTGTTCAAATAGGAATATCTATCTATCTATCTAGTGTATATATATATATATATATATATATATATATATATATATATATATATATGTATGTATGTATGTATGTATCTATGTGTGTATGCGTTTGTGTGTATGTATGTGTGTTTGTGTTTGTGTCTTGGGCTATAAGTTATTACTGTGCATATGTCACTATGTTTCCTAAAACTGAATGTATTCTTACTTCGTATACACCAGAGAACATGAGTGGTTCTAATATACAGATCTGCGGCATAAATACCTCCACATACACCTCCCAACGTAATGGTAAGACATTAGCAAAATGAAGGCAGCGTTTCTGGCAGGTGTATGTGGGAGTTATTTCTGCTGCAGCCTCTCTATGGTAGAGCCGCTCGAGTCTGTTAGATTTTAAATCGGCATACTAGTAGCCTATATTTGTTTATTTCGCTCTCTCTCTTTCACTCTCTCTCCCCTCTCTCTCTCTCTCTCTATATATATATATATATATATATATATATATATATA